TCCCATTGCTTGTTTTTGTCAGGTTTGTCAAAGATCAGATGGTTGTAGATGTGTGATGCTATTTCTGAGGCCTCTGTTCTGTTCCATTGGTCTATATATCTGTTTTGGTACCAGTACCATGCTGTTTTGGTTACTGAAGCCTTATAGTATAGTTTGAAGTGAGGCAGTGTGTTGCCTCCAGCTTTGTTCTTTTTGCTTAGGATTGTCTTGGGTACACGGGCTCTTTTTTGGTTCCATATGAAATTTAAAGTAGTTTTTTTTAATTCTGTGAAGAAAGTCAATGGTAGCTCGATGGGGATTAGAGAGGATGCAAAAAAATGGAAAACTGATCCATGCTCATGGACAAGAAGAATCAATATCATGCAAATGGCCATACTGATCATCACTTGTTAACCTAACAGTAAGACAGAAAATTAAAAATGAGCATATTCACTCATATGCCTCACAGATTGATGGTCAATGATAAATAGATGTATTTGAGGAAGAAGCAATGAAGGAACCTGGAGACTAGTGGAGGGGCTATTTCTGGCTATTTTTAAGCTTCTCGATTTTTTTTCTAAAATTAAGTGCATTTATGTAGGTGCATGTTGTGATAACCCAAAATTAAATGAAAAAGAACAAGGATTAGGATAGAAAGAGAAAAGTGATAGATCTGAAATGTATTTTAAGTGTTATTTCCTTTATGGTGATGCTCAAAATGTTTCATCTACCATAACTAGCCGTTTCTTGGATGGTGCATATAATATTTTAAACTTTTACCTTACATTCTATTTGAAACTCTTATGTGATTTTAACCCTGGACTTTGAACTTTTCTTGTGTTCTCCCTACATCCTTTAGATTAACAGAGCATTGTGACAGAATCTTAAAAACATAATAAAACTTTAGTCCTTTCTTGATTCAACAACACCCCCTTTCAGTTTTATAATTTTATTCAATCTCATGTCCCCCACTTTGTAGATTGGTTCCTTAAAAAATTATTTTCCCAATTGGTCATAGATATAGTAAGAATATTGTAAATTCAAATGCCCCAGTCAAAAGAGGCAAATATGTAAGATGGGATTTTATTTACAAAGTCAAATATTCCCTGAAACTATTCCTAAGTTAAGTTATGGCTATCCTTAGTTTGCTCACTTCCATTTTGGCATGCAAGGAGTTAAACTACATATTATGGCTTGTTATGGTCTGTTGTGCTCATGAAATCACTCAATTTGGCTACTCTTTCTGCCTCTTTAGATACTGGAATTGTAAGTATAAGAAATAGTTAAATTATAAATATTTAATGTATTTGTGTTTTAATAATAATTTTGTTTATCAAACCTATTACACAATAATATAAAGAAATACATAACACCAACCCATGTTTGTAGTCAAAATAAAATTTAGAAATCTAGTTGTAGGTGTATTTTAAAGCAAATAGAATGTCCAATGGCTCTTACTTTTTAGTAAACAGTAGCAATTGGTCATTAATTTGAGATGTATGAACCCTTCCTGGAGAGGAGACTGGGATTACTACTCTAAGCTAAAAGTACATTCACCTTCAAATTTGGGAAGTCCATTTCCTTTTCATAAATTAGTTTATATTAACTAAAAATCGATCTCAGAGGGATCCAAAGACAGGTTTCTCTTGGTTTTTAGCACCTTATTGGAGAAAAGTGTAACATCAAAGTAAAACAAATTAAGTGCAATCAGAATCTTCAGAAACCATTTGGGAGCCAAAGAACATCTGACTTATGTCATTAAGAGAAGGAGCAATAGTACCTTGTGGACTTTTTGATACTCAGTCTTGATCTCTGACTTAAAAATTTACCAGTAAATTTTTGTTTTGATTATTTTTATGACTATGTTATAAAGAGCTTTCCTAAAGAATTGCTCATGTAAGTGTGTGTGCATGCCTGTACGTGTATTGCCAAAATGAGCATTTTTCTTCCCGCTGCCTGGGAAGATCATACTCAATCATTAGTATTTACATAGCACTTGTTTCCATCGAATTCTAAGAGCAGAGGGATTCTGTTTTAAAGTCATCGGTAAGACAGTTTGTTTTTCTATGAACATACTGAAATTATGCACTGGGCAAATTAGTGAATTTTACCAAATATGTCTCAAGGATAAATATAGTAATTTTCACAGTGAATGTTTTCCATCTCTCAGGAAATCTATGTTTGTCATGAAATGACAAGTTTTTTTGGAGGGTTGGGGGAATGGGGTGGTTGTCTTTGAAAACTGATTTTAAATTTAATTAAATAACAAGGCAAACCTGAAAAATATTTTACATTTAATGGAAGAATTTAAGCATGATCTTTTGGTGGAATGCAAGTGGCAAAAAAATTTAACACATCTCCTGAAGAAACAGATTTTCCTTTTCCTGGGTTATCATTATAAACCGTAACTTTAAAATTTTAAATTATGAAAAATATCTTATCTTGGGAATGAGAATTTATACCAATAAACTATTCTTGTAACGTTGTAACTGAGAATTAATGTGCTTTTATAAGATGATAACTTTACTATTTTTCTGTGCAGTAATGCCAAAAAATAATCAGGCTTAAAATATGACTTGACTTGTAGTGTAAATTGGCATAAAAGATTTCATATTTGTGTCTTTACTGCTATATTTTTCTTAAGAATGAAATGAATAAAATACTAGCGGGAGAAGTACCTAAGATTTTACGCCTACTAAAAGCGTGTAGACAATATAAAACCCAATGTGTACAGATGACCTAAATTCTTCCTATGTCTTACCAGTAGCTGTCTGTATAGACCCAGATCTTCAAACCAGTTATTAAAATGATAGTGAGAGTTAACTTTGAGTATGGTCATGTGCTAATTATCTGATAATATTACAGGGATGTGAGCTGAGAAATACTAGAAAAGTATAACTATAATAGAGTTCTTCAAATTATTTCTCTAAGAAGTATTCTTTCTGGTGGAAATTTAAAAAACAAAACAGAAGAACCACAACAATAAAACAGCAACAAAGCAATGGTGAAGTGTTTTGTAAATAGTTTCCCCAAATCAAATTAAAGTGGCAAAGCTTTCATTTTGTGTCTATCTCTCGGGTCTATGGATTTTTTTTTTTTTTTTTCCTGTTTGGTTTGAGTGATCTATATAAGGAGGCTTTAACAATTAAATGCTGTGGAAGTGACCTGTTTGTTTTTCTTTTTGTGTCTTTCTCCTGTTTATGTGACACTTCGTTTAGGGAGACCTTACCTTATGGCCCTGTTTTTCTTTATGCCAAAGCTATGTGGATTTTAGTGGTTAGTTTAATATTTGACATCATAGTGTAGTCTCTTTATGTCTTAAGCCATTCTCTGTTTAGAAAGTCTAATTAAGACAACACTTAATGTAGAAAGTAAAGGGCAAAAAAAAAAAAGCCAAGCATTTTTTTTCTCGTAAAATTATTGTCAATCAGAAATCGTGTTATAAGTGACTCTTTTATCATATCCATGTGTAACAGAGCACTGATTGACAAGAAAGGTTTTATAAATTGATATGATTCATCGTTAGCTTTTAACTAGTTTTTTGACTGACAGTTTAACAAAACAAAAATGACACCACCTAGGGGTAAGAGTAGTCATAATAATAACTTTTTTTCTAGAGGCTATTAGGACAACTGACCACACATCTGTTAAGTTATATATTATCTCTCACTAATCTACTACTAATGTTTAACTATCTCCTATAAAACTGATGCTACCAATATAAAGTAACTTATCATGATTGACAAAAATTCCACAGTGGTTGTTTCAATAATTTATAAGCTAATTCATTATTGTTTTCCTACCAATTGGCAGGATTTTGTGTTTGCACCTGGAAGATGTTTGAGATTCTGCATAACCCAGGTTTATTTTCTGTGTTTGCAAAATGCAGGATGTTCCCTTTAATAACCTGAAATTTTAATAAGGACCTAAGAAATAGTTGAAAAAGTGAGTGAACTTGTATTTAAATTAGGTCTTTGAGAGCTTGGAGATTCTAACTTGGTGAACTCTAATTAAATCCCTTAAGGCCACTGGGTCTGCCTCCCTAGTTCTTGATGGTGAAAATAAGGTCTTCAAAAAGAGTCCCTTGGCAGTATACAAGTGGAGGGGAAAAAATCCTGCAACCCTTCACTATAGCATTTTATAAAGCTGGAATTCCAGAAGGAGTTCCAGACAAGGAAAACAATAGAGACTGAAACCCGAGAACTAGTAAAGCAAGGAAGGTAAGGGAAATAGAATTTGGACAGAGTGGTTATTCAAGAAGAACATCACTCATTCAGATCAGAGCATGAATGTAGAGCAAGACAAAGGGGCAAATAAGATATACTAGTGCTGGTAACGACATAGCAAATCTTAGTTGGCACATTTTGCAATTAACATTTCCAGTAAGAAATGCTCAAATACAAAACTGCCATTTTTCAGTTCTGACATTATAGTGGCTTTTTCCTCACGGCACATTTTCCGTATAAATATCTAAGCATTTTTGTTTTTCTTTCCAGCTAGATTTCAGTACTTATTTGTGTGGGTGAATTTAACTGTGATGGTGGGAACAAAACAGGTATTGAATCTACTTAGAGCCAAGAGGAGATAAATAAAAGGTAATCAAAATCTGGACATTGAACTTGAGCGTATTTTCAGCATCTTTGCCTATGTAACAATACAGATATACGAATTGAATGGGTGCTGCTTTATTTCTGTCAATATGCTAGAAGGTGAAGGTACAGGGAGATTTTGTACTTTCTCCTTAACATTTAAAATACATTCTAAATAGTGTTTCTTGGTATCATAAAATTCACAGTTGAACCTCCTCATCCAATTATGAACCAATAATCTAAATCACCTCCTAAAAAGAAGAAAGAAATATCAACTTTGCAGATAGTTTCCCCTGACTCGCAGATATTCAGTTAATACCAAAATATCCAGTTTGACTGCCAACATGTGCATCATTTCCCCCATATACCTCAGTCTCATTTCTTTTCACGTTTCGGCATTTGCACTCTGTTTCTGAGTCTTTATTTCAACAGATTAAAAGAAGATAAAGATCTGCTAGTGGTGGCAAAATACCCACAGAGGTTCCTCACCCAGTGGACTCCTGTGAAAATCGACAGAAAGCTAATTGAAGAGGAGAGGCACGCTGCTTGGCTCTCATTAGTCTATTCCTGTGCCATGCCCACGTGGACCAGTGCATTCTTTCATAGCTGATTGATATGTGATGCCCTCGCACCCCCCATCCTGACCAAATGTTCTACAAAGTAGGAGCGATGTAGGAAAACTTGGAATTTATACTTTTGTAGTTTGCTCTACTTTTTATTTCAAAAGGCTTTTAAAGTTCTATGAACACTATTTAGATCACTTGTATGTCTAGATGGAAATACTGATTCTTGATGCTCTGAATAAACCCCTAACCCCAAAGGGATATTGAACTACTGGGTGCTAGCTTTGTTCTTAAGTATAAGTTCCAAAAAGTTTTATTTACTTTTTGAACTCTTTACTAGGATGAAAGTATCACAGTGCTTTTGTGGTCTGCCACTTAAGTGGCTTCATCTTTTCTTGGGGGAAAAAAATGAAAGTAACAAGCAAAATATAGAGGAGATTTTAGTTCGTTCTTTGATCAAAAGGGTCATTTATTGATCTGGGGCTTAAAAGGAAAAGATCTGTTTTGGGGAAAGTCATTGTACTACCCACAGTTTGAACTCTTCTTTTTTTACTATCTATTAGAGCATGATAAGTCTACATTTTTTTTTTTTGAAGAAGCAAATCTCACAATTAAAATAAGAACTCCATTATCACTATGATCAGATGACTGTTGCAGTAAACTTGCAAAACAGTATCGACATTAATTGAAATGCTGGTAATTTATAGCCTTAAATAGAGATAATTTCTTTTAAATTGTGACTTTACATGACTTTTTTTTTGTTTCTTCTTTTACTTCAACTAGAAAAGGAAAATGAGTTGTATTTTAAAATTAAACATCATCTGCTTTCTTTTCTACCCCTTCACTTTTCAGACTCCAGGAATCAGCTTGAATATTCTACAGAGGATTGTCCAGTGACTATAAAATAAGCTGGAAGCAGAAATTTCAGTAATTAGTTCAACTATAGAATCATTACGTGAACTAGAACAAGTTAGTAAGTCCTTCCTATATTTGTTTACTTCTTGGAATATTCTAATAAGGGAAATAAAAAAAGCAGTGTTTTGAATTAGAATTATTTCCCTTCTAATAAGGGAAATAAAAAAATCAGTGCATTGATAAAGTGAGGTACATAGGATATTTTATAGAAAAGACATTTGACTTAATAGCATCATACCTAAAGATTTTTGGATGGGTATATAATGTATCTATATAAAGAGATAGATACATATCTATGTATGTGTGTGTGCATATGAGCTACTGTCATAAATTATGTACTCCAGCATGTTACACAAATATTGAGTAAATACATGGAAATTTGCTGACACAGCTTTTCCAAACTTTGTTCTTTGGACTAGTGTTTAATAAGATATTGATGTGTATACTTTGGAGGAAAATTGTACCTGTTGAAATAAGAGGGAAATTATTTTTTATAGAGATTCACACTATAAATTGGAATATTAATGACTCTGAGAAGGAATTTAGAAAGAAAGTCTTTGCGTCTTTGCTTCTAACACTTACTTAATCTCATTATAGTGTTTAAGGTAAAACCTTTATTAAAAATTAAATCACTGTTCCAAATATACATTCCAGAATAAAACTGTATATGGGCAAAAATACACATTTTAAAATATCACAACACTCCTGTTTAAATATTATCTCAATTGTTTACTAACTGTAATACCAGGGGAAAATATTCAGCCCTTTCTTATATGTCAATCCTTATTTGCAAAATGAAGATAATATTTATCCTGTGCTTGTTGTAAGTGTTTACAATATATGGGCTGTGTGATATATCAACTTGCTGTGCATTCCACTCTGCTCTGCTATTTTAGTTGAGTTTTCATTTTAGTTCCTCTATTTTGATATAATTGGATTCAATGTCATCGTTAAGTGAGTTCCACATGGGAATCGTGGGTTTCAAGAGGTTGTCAAAGCAATACACAAAACTAAGCATCTATGTCAGCTAATAATGTATTTGCCTACAAATGACAGGAAATCTAACTACAATGGCTTAAACAGTTTTTGTTTGTTTTTCCATATGTGGGAAGTCCAGAAAAAAGCACTCTTGGGATATTATATACAGCAACAATAGCATTAGGGACCAACACTTCTGTCTTTCTGCTCTTTCATCCTGGGCATGTTGACTTTCCTCTCCTTACTTGTCACTTTATGGTGACTAGATGGTGAAGTTGTTGAAGCTGGTGAATAACTGGCAATTGCACCTTCAGGCATCATGTCTGCATTCTGGAGAGAAGAGTTCAGGAAGAGTCAGATACTAAGCCAGGCCCGTCTATTATGTAAAACAAAACTTTTCCAGAACCATCTAAGCCAGAACTGGTGCAGGTGGCATCTCTTGCTTCAAGGGAGGCTGGAAAATTTGGCGAAAGTGTTGTAGTTGAGATAGACCAATCATCATCCATTGCCCAGCTCTAAGCTTATCGCTGACTGTAACACAATTGTAGTTTTCTTAGCAAGAAAGAGAGAAGCAAAATGACATTATTTGCACAAATTGACTTATGTTATAGATTCCCTTTTAAATGCATAGATTAATATGACTCAAGGATAGCATCCAAAATTAAATAATGACCCAGAAAAGTTTTCATGTTTAAGGTGGAAGAAGTCAACATTAGGGAATTTGCATTTTTAACAATCCCACGTGGTAATTCTCACCAAATGGCTTTGCTTGCCAAGCTCTCTAGAACATGGAGCCAATGCACCTAATTTCAGTGTGCAGGGAGAGTGAGGAATAAGGGCAAGCAGGCAAGGAACAGATGTGGAAAATAAATAAATGGAATGCTGTGTTTTTATGTCTGGCTACTGCTTCCCAATAGGCCATGATGTTACTAGGCAGGTGTAACAGCTCAGCACACAGTATATTCCTGGACATACTGTATGAAATTATTAAGTTGGAGGGTGAGGAAAAAAGAAGACCTTTATCTTCTTGGGTTCCCTTTTCCTCTCTTTCCTGCTGGTCAAAGCTTTCCCCACAGGGAGTTAGCGCTCCATCAATTCCAAGTTATATCATTCTGTCCCTTTGCATGCCAACATCTTTGATGCAGAAGATGGTGTGTCAGATCTCATGTCCTGTGATGAGACATTCCATTAAAATCCAGAAGCAGAGGGAAAGGATAAAAACTCCAGGAATGCAGCTTGTCTGCCTAGCTGTGTGGCAACTGCCAAGGGAGAGAGGTGACGCTGACAGAGGGAATGCTTCGTTGGGCCCCAGTGGCAGCAGCACTGTCCAGAATGGGAGAACCACAGGAGTCTGCAAATGATAATAACATTTTTTTTTGTCTGACGCACTACATTTGAGAATTGGTGCTTTAGAATTTAATTTATCTCTGGAGTCTAGGTTAACTTCAAAGTCAAAAGATCCTCATGCCAATAAGTGTTGCCCCATATAACTTCTACAAAAGTCTTAAGGCATAACAGGTTTCCTAAACCTTCATTATAGGCTGTATTGCTGGTAGACAGTGGATCACACTGGTTAATAACAGGACTTTGGTTTCACACACAATGAGACTTGAATCTGGGCTGTGCTGTTGTTTATCTTTGTCACTCTGGCAAGCCATTTTTTAACCCAACCTCAATTACATATTTATATATGTAATTACATATATATACATATATAAATATATATGTGTGTATATATATATTTCACTAAATAAGTGAAAGTGTTGACAATGTTTTTCTTTAAGGCTTGGGGAGGATGGTATCTGACAGTCTGTTTAATGAATTTGGTATACAACTTTTTGTCAGATATAACTATTTCATTCACTTTATCCTTCTTTCTTGAAGATAATTTCTAAAATTTCAATAGCTTTGCTTGTCAGGTCGATCAAACTTCAACAGTCTGGAGAGCCACAGTGAGTCGGGAATTTCTGGGTTTTGTCTTGCTCTCTGGTCCAGGTAGACCAGAAGAGACCACACAACTCCCAGACCAATTCCACTTTGAAAAATGCAAACTGCTGAACACATTTTGCTCTCCCTGGGGAAAAGTCTCAGGTAACATATGAGGATGTTGAAATAACACCACACCCACCTCTTACCAGAGCAGCTAATTTAAAATCACTCACAATCTGGAAGAATCTGTCTCAATATCTTCTTGTAAGAACCTACAGCTAACTGTTTGCTGAAAGGTTTCCTGAGAATAGGATCTTATCCAAGGCTTGTGACAGTGGTAACTTAGAATGAGGCTACAGAGATCTAATTAAAAAGGTGATTTCCTAACATATGGAGTGCCTATGTGAAATCAAGAGAGTTTTCTGTGCTGGGGGAGAGGCTGACCCTGTAAATTCTTATGACATTAGGCTTAAATCTTAGCTGCTAAACACCTTTCAAATATTTATCTCTTCCCAAGTAAATGTACTCCCTGCAAAGCTCTATTTGTTGACTTTTATCCCAGTTGGATCGACTGTGGGGACTGTATCACTGAGACCTGTGCATTAAGTGGTACATATGTTGAATAAACAGCCAGACAGCTACCAACTGTCAAGCTGCTTTACTAGAGTAGAAAAAATAAGCACATATGCCATGTTGAAAAGCAAAAGAAAAACAAAAGTTTATAATAGAACTAGGAAGTGGTTCAGGTAAAATACAGTCACATGGTTATGTACATGATTATTCTTGAAAATACCATTATAATTTTTTTGGAGGATAAATGAAAATCCAGGAATGATCTCAAATGTAGCATTAGATATGAAATCTCCCCTGGTGGCTCATAATTTATTAGCAAATTAATAAATGGAAAGGGACACCAGGTATGTTAATATAAGCAAAAGCTGGAATGTGTGCTCAGTGAGGAAATGCAGGTTTGATTTTCTTACAAGTGGCAGATGGAAATAAGGGGACAGGTTGTTCTTTACAGGTATGGATGAAACAACAGAACACACCAGCTTTTCTGGCAAGGAGACTGGAAGTATTTATAGATAGTTTTCCATCTTGTTGCCACCAGCATTACTCTCCTATAATACCATAATGCAACAACATTGACTACACATTCCAGGTGGCCACCTGCAGAATAGAAAGGATCCTGGTCACCAGCAATTGATTTGTGCAGGAGACATAGTAGCCCTGTTACTTTAAAAGTTGTCTCAGCTTATTTTGGTAAGGAAATGAACTGAAGTTATGAGTGTCAGTTCAGGTGCTCTGGAAGCAGGTGGCAAGCAGGTTACAAGTGCAAAAACTGTACTGGAAGTAATATGCATTTGAGATAAAGAGGAGAGGGGAAAGATGATGAAAAGACATCAAACGATGATGCAGGTTTAACACTTAGAAAAGGAGCAGGGAAAGGAAGGAGAATTGGATAGAAGGGACCTCAGAGTACAGTGTTGCCCTGACAAAGTTTCAGTCAACTCATTGATTGCCCTAGAGGATTCCATGATAGACAAAAACAGCCAGGCCCTAGAAGAGTACTCTGCCGTCATTGGTTAGAGCAGCCCATGGAAAATATGTGTTCTTATATTACATACCAGGGCAGATTCCAAAGATGGTACAACCAAAAGTTGTTGGCTGATTGCTCTTCTGTAGCAAGTTGCCTCTTGATAGGAGAACTGAGTGGAACAGCTCTGTGGCTGAGACAGTAGACTTTCCAAAGATGACATTGGAGTAGACTTCTAAGAAAGAGTGACTTTCACACATTTATTTATAATAAAAGACAAATATGACTTGGTCAGTGTGGATTCTTTTATGAGTTTTTATTCATAAAAAAGCCTCAAGGTAGTAAAACACTTGTGTCAGCCTCTACTCATTTTCCCATCCGTTCTTTTTTGCATGGTTTGGAAACAAAATATACTAGACAGTCAGGTAGAAATTTTCCTAGGGTGGAAGAACACTATCAAATTATTATTTTTTTAATTTTACTTTAAGTTCCAGGATGCATGTGCAGAATGTGCAGGCTTGTTACACAGGTATACTTGTGCCATGGTGGTTTGCTGCACCTATCAACCCATCATCTAGGTTTTAAGCCTCACATGCATTAGGTATTCGTTCTAATGCTCTCCCTCCCCTTGCCCCCCATTCCCTGACAGGTCACAGTGAGTGATGTTCCCCTCCCTGTGTCCATGTGTTCTCATTGTTCAGCTCCCACTTATGAGTGAGAACATGCAAACACTATCAAATTCTAAGAACACAAATGCACTTTGCTGGTTTAGTGATGAAGAGCCAGGAGAACTGAAGTCGAAATCCTAGTTTTGTCACTCCCTAACTAAGAAATTGAGTAACTTAATTTCTCTGTGTTTCATTTTCTACATAATAAAAAAAAGCAAAAAGCAAACAAACAAACACACAAGCAAACCAGTATCAAGTAGTTTCATTTGCTGAGTAATTTTTTGAAAGATTTCCTTATTCTAGAAACTTTTATTTTTATAAGATGTTTGCTATAGTTTGTGTTAATCTTAAACACTGAAGAAGCCCATCTGGCTAATTCAGGGTAACCTCCCAGTATCAAGATCCTTAATTTAATCTCATCAGCAAAGTCCCCTTTGCCATGTAAGGTGACAGAATTCATATGTTCCAGGGATTAACACATGGACATCTTTGGAGGACAAAGAATGTGGGCAGCCTGGAGAAGCTGGAAAAGGTAAGGAAGAGCATTCTTCCCTATAACCTCCAGAAATGTAAGCAGGAATAGAAAACTAACATGCTACCCAAGCTGCCTGAGTTTATTCTCACTGCACTAAGTTTCACTGTCCTGACAGATACAGCTGTCCTTCCTCTTATCCCTAGGTCGGGTCTGCTGATCTGAGTGACTAGCAGATGTCATATTCAATTAGTCTCCAGAATGTCTCTTGCACAGCTCTTTTGTTGCCTGTCTCTACGCCTTTGCTCGTGCTCTTTCCAGTTTTGGAAATGACTCAGTCATTGGCTCTGCCTATTCAAATCTCCGGTATTCCTTAAGGTTCTGATAATAACCTGTGTCCTTCCTGAAGACTTTTCTACCTACTCCAACTCACTCCAAATGCTTACAACTGAGAATTCCAATTATTTAGAATCAAAGACTGGCACTTTTGCTCAGAATGTTTCATATTAGCAATATCTCCTCCAATCCAAACAGTGTCAAACTCCTCAAGAGCAGGGACAATCTGTTATATATCTTTTGTGTCTCATTCAGCCTCAGCCAATGCTACACAGCCAGTGCCAAATCAGTGGTAGATTAGTACTTTGTTTATTGAGAAATAGTAAACATTTAAAATATAAATACCTCTGAGAGTTGATTACATCCTTTTAGCTATGAACATTTCACTGTAGTTTATATAATAAACGGAAGTAAATTCTTTTGTATTAATTAAATTTTAGTTGACAAATAAAATTGTATTTATTTATAATGGACAACATGATGTTATGAAATATGTATACTGGGGAATGGCTAAATCGTATTAATTAACATATGCATTACCTCCCATTATCATGTACATACACATCACTTAAAATCTACTCTCACCAATTTTAAAGAATACACTATGTTGTTAACTACAGCCACTATATTGTACAATAGATCCAAAAGATCTTTTGAATTTTTTCCTCCCATCTAACTAAAAATTTGTATCATTTATCCAACATTTCTCCCCACCCCGGAGCTGCGGTTCTTGGTAAGCACAGTTCTCTTCTCTGCTTCTAAGAGTTAAACATTTATAGATTCCACGTATCAGTGAGATTATGCAGTATTTGTTCCGTGCCTTGCTTATTTCACTGAACGTAATGTCCTCCAGGTTCAACCATGTTGTCACAAATGACAGGATTTCCTTGTTTGTTTGTTTGTTTGTTTGTTTTTTTAAGGCTGAAGAGTACTGTATTGTTTATGTACATCATATTTTCCTCATTCATCCATCCAGTGATAAACCCGTTGATTGGTTCCATATCTTGGCTTAGAAGGGGGACTAGTGGGTTTTCTAGGAAGCCATAAGAAGGCTTGGAAGCACTGCTCATCAGGGGAGTAGGTGCAGGCACCAATCGGGCAGATAAAGGTAGGGAGAGGGAAAGTAGAAAGGCCAGTTTCATCGATTTCACATTTTACCTTGACTGTCCACATGTTTAATATATCCTTGCATTCACAGAGTCTATGTTCTGAGAAATGAGGTAGTTGATATGATCGAAACTGGAATAAAATGTATATTTCATCAAGAAACAGATGGATCTTAAGAATTTGGTAAAAAAAAAAAAAGTAGAATTTGGCATAGTTTGAATGTTTGCATGTAGAAAGAGAATATTACATTGTGGCATTTCCCATTTCTTTTTACATGTGAAATTACAGTGAACTTATAAAAATCCCCCTCTGTCTTTTTCTTTTTTTTCTTTTTTCTTTCTTTCTTTTTTTGAGACAGGGTCTCACTCTGTTGCCCAGGCTGGAGTACAGTGGTATGATATCAGCTCACTGCAACCTCTGCCTTCTGGGTTCAAGTGATTCTCCTGCCTCAGTCTCCCAAGTAGCTGAAATTACAGGTGCATGCCACCACACCTGGCTAATTTTTGTATTTTTGGTAGAGATGGCATTTCACCTTGTTGGCCAGGCTGGTCTTGAACTCCTGACCTCAGATGATTCACCTGCCTTGGCCTCCCAAAGTGGTGGGAGCCCAGCCCAACTCTGTCTCTTTGTAAGCACATGCATACATATTATGTGTATATATTTAACCACATCATCTATCTGTCATTACTTTCCATTAATTACATTTCTAAAATATGTGAATAATTTAAATTTAAATTTTAAACTTTAATACTTACGAAAAGGATAACCGCATAAAGGTTAAATTAAAAATACAACCATAGGCTTATGTTTCCAGACAGGTTTTGAAAGAGTACATGTGTTCAATCATAATACATTTCCTTTTCCAACAAATAGCTAAAATTTATTCTAACTCTAAATCATTAATATTATATATACAAGATTGAGCTCTGAGAGTTTATTAGGAAAAAAGTTTACATTTCACTCTCTCTTCAATGCTTTCATAAACAAAATTACTTTAACATGACTTTCAATGAGCAAATATAATATTTACATTTCTGCTCTGCAAAATTTCTTTAACAAATTGGAGTGTAACTATACTGCCAGTTTTTATATATTGGTGAATAAGGTTTGTTTTAGTTAATTATCATCTTTCTATAACTGAATAACTCAGAAAAATTATATATTACCAACACAACCAAAATAAAATAAGATTATTATTATATGTCCTCCAAATGTTCTTAAACACTTTTTAAAAAGTGTTTATTTTGTTATGCTTTATGAGTCAATGCATTGTGTTATATTCTGAGTATAAAGAGATATTTAAATCGGACTTGCTTTGATGAACTAACCACGAATTCTGAGTTTTAACATGTATGCTAAGTTTTATAAATTTGGTGTGAAAATGAATGGGAATTCACGTGGGTTGTAACACAGAGATTCATAGTATCAGAAATTGAATGAATGCTTCACTAAGACTGTTTAAATTTCCATTGCCTCTTCCAGTACTCTCTTGTATTTGACCTGAATTCAAGAACTCACATGCCATTTACTTAATTGTGTGTATTTCTCTGCTTATAGTCCATATTTCAACTTGGGAATGAATTTCACATTTCTTTGTGTCCCAAGCACAAACCATGTTGAACATGAGATTCTTAGTAAACAACTGATTGACTGCTTCAGGTTTAGGTTCAGTCCACACTGAGACCAGTCTGTGATAGACGATCTGGACACCCTTATTCAACCCAAGCATTTGGAAAAATGAAGTTCTTCCGGTGCTTTTTTTTACTATCTCCAGGAAAGGGATAGTTGTCTAGTTATCTGGAGTTAGCCAAGTAGTCTCTGATTTTCAGAAATCATCCAGTGTAATATGAAACTCATTGCATCACAAATAACCCTGCTTTGAAATGAATTATTACCTATACAGATCCAATTTAATCTATACTTCACTTTTCTTCTTGTGGATGATTACTATGTTATTCCTATTGTCTATTACTATTGTTATTCCTATTATGTTACTCCTACATATTGGGGACCTTAATAAATATTAGTTGAAGTAAGAAATAAATGATGTATTAATGTTAATGAATCATCAATCCAGAGTTAAACAATCCTACAGCATAACTGGCATTTGCTAGGACAGTCCTTGAGAAAAACCTTCTGTTATTTCAGGAAAAGGAACAAGGCCCCAGAGGTCTGTTACATTGGAAACTGCCTACCATGGGTAACCACCCATATAAACTGGTCCCAGTCAGCATATTCAAGATGTTTGTGCTTGTGGTGCCACAACCTACTCTTCAGCCAGAAGACCCTCTTCTTTTATAATTCAAGAATGCTTAAGACTTTCTCTCTAAAGTGTATTGACTTACAAAGCTAGATGTCCTAGAAGTGGCTGTACTATAAAAGAGAACCTCCGATAGAACATGATGTGTTTCTAATGGAGGAATTTAGAAATAAATATGGGACATTTGAGGCTCAAGACTTCACAGAAACTTTTTGTATTATACTTCTTTGTCTCCAAAGGCAAAAGGTTGTGGCATATACATTTAAATGAGTTATTGTTACTGTGAGAGGGATTCTGCCACAGTAAATAGTTGTTGAGACAGTAGAGAGGTGAATGAAATCAAGTTACAGCTGATACTGGGGTGTGCGCTTTTGGTTCAAAGTAAAAGACTGTATATTTTCTAGTCCATGTGATGCTGTTACATTGGTTTATACATTTAAAGGAAAATTAAACAGTAAATATGATACTATCTGAGCCCTTTCCTATGGCTTCTTTAAACTATAGGGTTTGGTAGGTTTACACATGGAAGTCTGGAGAATGGGGGTGGGACATATTGCAAAGAATAACATGTCCGAAAGTTAAAGTTACAGTGACAGTAGTAGGAGCCTTTAAAATCAAGCTGCAGTATTCTTTTCCTATGCTAGGGTCGCAGATAGAAAGATGATGAAAGTGAAGCACACACACACACACACATAAATATACTCACATATATGTGAAGTCAGTAATTAATTCAGTAGTAAATCTGCTTAGGCCTTCCTCTTCTATTTTCAAAATTTCAGGGCTTTTGTCTACTGTTTTTCAATTCCAAATTTCATTTGAAAATAAAAACCTGTAATCTTTCAACAATTTTTATCCACAAAATAAAGTTTAGGAGAAGAAAAGCTAGCTGTGAGAATGACCTGAGACATGGTCATTCCTATCATTTTAGTTTGAAATTCAGCAAGTAGATCACAAAAACAAGTACGCTCCAGGGAAGGAAGAAAACGTGCTGTCCTGTGGGCTGTCCTAATACCCCTTCGATTCCTTGAAAAGTCTTTCCAGTATGTATAATTAAGAGGGCATTCTCTGCCTCATAAAATTTTCCAAAATAGCTTTTTTTTTTTTCTTTTTTCTTTTTTTTGCTGTGGCTATTTTGCTTTTGCTGCTTATTTCTACCTAATGATGAGTTTTGCACATTCTGCATCTTTGTCCTAGCTATGCAACAGACCTAACTGCCCACCTTTCCAGGCTCATTTTGATGAGGTAGAACCAGAATTACAGTTCTCTGGTAGTTCGAGAATAAGCACTGCTGTAATATATAACATTTCTGAGAACACAGTGACCTTTTCCCGTTAGTAAGATTCTTTGAAATCTTGGGGATGTTTCCATTGCTATATTGATACATCTTATGTACTTTGCCAAAACCAGGCAGTGATATTTCCATTTCTGTTCTCTCTTTTTCAGCCACCCTCTGGGCTTGCTTTGCACCCCACACTATAAACACTGAACATGGTGTCTGAGTATGAGACAGGAATGGTCTAACCACCTGGGAGTCTAAACCTCCTCCATTCATTTTCAAAACAGGATCACAAAAACTGTGCTACACCTGCTTGTTCCACACAAGGACTAGATTCCCTAGTTCTTAGATAGTTTTACAGACCATTTCCCTACATATTCAGCTGTCAGCTATTGTTACTTTTTACAATCCAGAAGAATATGCTAATTATACTGACACATAATGCAATATGCTTAAGAACATGCCACTCAAACGTGTGGCTCTCAGGAGAATTCTACCTTCAAGAAACTTCATCTATAAGGAAATACCCCCTTTGAGATAAAGGCAGTTCTTTTGTAA